TGAAAACTAATAACATATGTGTGGTGACCTCCTTTTGTTTCCGATCATTCTCTAAGCTCCGGTTGATATTGGTAAGGAAGGGGTTTGAAATCAGTCTATTCCGAAAAATAAAAATCCAGTTATCTTTTTTCGTCGAAGAAGATCCCAAAGTCATGTTTTTTACCGATATATTCGAATGTAGCTTTTGCGCTTGTAATTGTTTTTATTAGCTTTTATGCACAAAGAAATGCCAGGATACGTTGCGGATCGCATAACAGAACATTTTCATACTTAAAATACTCAGTTCAAAAGTCTAATGAAAAAGATATTGGTATTTTTGGTATTGGTATTCAATTTTTTATTCCGGAGCAATTAGAAATTGACTTTATAAGATTACACACGCGTAAAAACAAAGCCACCGGTTCACGACCTTATATAAATAACGAAGAGAAATTAAACATATCGCTTTAGAAGTTATTGTGGTTAGGTTAGGTGACAGCTTCACATGGTGATTAAGACTTTTCATTTTTAGACTTAAATAACAACACTATGAACATTTGTGGAAAAGCGGATTTCAAATTCCTAATCTATTCAGTTTAAAATCACGACTTGGTATATGTCGTTTTACACATTTTGTGCTGTTTAAAAGAATTTTTTTAATGATAGTGTGAATCTTTCTTTATTGCAGACCTGGTGCGGCCGTTTGAACAGTTCGGAAACGAGACGTCGAATTAGCTACACGATGGCAACAGATGTCAACATCTGCACAATGCGCGATGCTTGATATAGCGCTACTCAAACAATATATTTGTATCAGATATAGTATTTCTTTGGCTTCGGTGTGTGTGTGAAGCTGGCGTCTTATTTCGTGGAACATCACTAATTAATAAGAGTTCCGAGTTTTTTTCTAATAGTTCTTGCTGAGAAAAATTTCCATCGGATAAACCAATTAAATAGTGTTTCCGACTGTCAATTTTTCCGATTACATTATAAATACATCCGATGAAATTTATCCGATGAAATTTGATCGAAAAACCGGTCACATTAGTTACTGAATATACAATTTGATCGGATATATCCATTTGTTATTATGTAATTAGATTATCCGATTACATTTAATCGTAATAATTTCCTCAACAATGAGGACGTCCATGTATCTTCGATGTCGCTCAATATCTTAACTGTGTCAAAACTACAATTGTGACCACATTAATTAAAAAGACAATTTACTTTATTTGCTTTATAAACAAAACTGACGCACTTATATTTAATTATGTGTACACTAAGAAAAATTTTCATCGGATAAACCAATTAGTGTTTCCGATGGTTAATTTTTCCGATTGCGTTTTCCTATTAAATTATGGACACATCCGATGAAATTTATCCGATGAAAAATGCAGTTACCAATAAAATTTGATTAAAAAACCGATGACATTTTTCACCGAATATACAATTTAATCGGATAGATCCGTTTATTTATATTATATAGTACGTAAATTTTATCTTGGGAAAAACTATTTTTTAAGATAAATTTTAGCATTATAGATATTTTGGATCTATTGCGGATATTTAAAGCTAGATTATTTAATCTGAATCCCCTAGTTTCATATTTATTTTGGGAAAAATCTGTCAGTGGCAATCAAGGAACTATGTAGGTTTCCCGATTATTTTTCTCTCGGTAAAGTCAAGGTAAATTTCTATGGTGAATTCTAAACCTAAACGGATATTTTAAACTGGACTTTTCAATCTAAGCCCTGTACTTAATCTCGGCAACTTGAGATAGATTTTCTACCTGGGTACCTGTTCTTACTTTTCATTAAATTCTAATGATATCTGGTTTCAACAAAGTTTTAATTTAACGTTCGATTAATAAGATACTAAATTACATAAATTAAGAAATAATGTAAAGAGCACTAATTTGCTATATACAAAAATAGATAAATTAGCTCGGATGTCATTTTATATCATAAATATACGCGTAATATTTATTTTACTTTGCAATACGATGGAATATTTGAAAATTCAGGAAATGCTAAATCTCGCGAATACGACGAAAATTTCGCCAATACATCAGATAACAATAAGACTTCAATTGCATTTTAATATGCCTTCAGAAAAATGTTCACTCGAGACCAAGTAGGTAATTACCGATTAATTATCGAATTGTACACTGTTGGAAATTAAGCGACAAGGCCGCAATTTTTTAACCGAACAACAGAAATAGGAATGTCTGTACTATAATCGTCCGGCGTTGTCTCAGGAGACATTTGCCACGCTATTTACAACCAAAATTAAAAGCTTGCGAGAGATTTGAAAGAAACATTCGCTAAAAATGTCGACAATTTCTTCAAGATTGTAGACATAGTTTTTGTAAAATACGAGGTATAAAACTTGAAATTCAATTTAATATCATAAATTATGTAAATTTTCTATGTTGATATTTACATAATTAATTTAATGATTTTACATTTGATGCTTCTACATAATTAAAAAATCTATAAATAGAGTTAAGGAATATAGGGAAAATCGGGGAAACCAGCGCCTCAAAGATGTATTGTGCAACGCACCTTTAAATTTTCCTTGGCTGTTCAGAGAATGTTCTCACAAAAAAGGTCAGACTAAACCGTCTTTATTTTTACTTTATCTTTTGTTGTCATTCAATGCCATAGGTCTATTCAATTTCACAGTAAAAGTCCACTTACATATATTCGTGACGTATCAGTATCGTATCAGTGCTGTGTCGGTGATGTTCGTGATATATCAGTGACCGTTAATCGCAATTGGCAATAATTGTTATAACTTCAGATTAAGGACAAGCAAATAAAATTGACCCAAATACAATATTGGATATTCCTCAGGAATTTGAACCCAATATGCACGTCTTTCTACCGACAATGGACATTTTAGAAAATCTACATACACGTCTGCAATATAAAAATCATAAAAGATTTATTTTTATTAATAAAAAAATATATTTTCTTTTCAAGAAATAAAGGACTAAGAGCCGTGACAGGGTGGCAGTGTCTAAATATTTTATTCTAAGTTTATTGCGAAAAAATATCGCCTCATATTTTCTTTGCTTGTAAAAATAAAGGCTACATTATCCAAAAAAATTGTACAGCATAAACATATAAACGCGGAGATTCACTTTACTGATATTTCGTAACGCAAAGAAAGAATCGGCTAGCGAAGAGTGTCGAGGTCCGCCGAAGTAGCGGAGCTTGTTAAAAACGATCGTTCTTTTTTATGTTAAACGCGAAATGCTCATTAAGTAGCGACGATGTAATGTCGCTTTCGAAAATGCCGTCGCTCTTTCTTTCGTCTAGATCGATATAGGTATATGTGTCATCTGTAAAACAGGGCGACCTTTGTGAGATATCCGCTCGCTCTACAAATCTCAATAATCCTGAGTGCTTTCCCAAAATATTTTATCATCCTTGTATGGATACGTCCTCGCGATTCGAAAACAACGCCGATCAACATTTAATATCCGTGGATCAATTTTTCCGACGCAAAATACTGGCAGACGACGAGATTCTCTCCGACCGTCTTCTGTTGGGGGATTATTTATTGTTATCTGTCTACCTAAATTATACAAAATGACCTCGTGTGTCCTGTCGGCGAACAGAGAGATAAAATGCTACGCGTAGGACAAATTACGAACAACTATGAAAATAGTATTATTTTATATAAATATTGTATATAAATAATATCACCGATCTAAAAAAAATTTTTATTACACAACTTCGAGTAAAAGAGGCTACAAAGTGTCCTTTGACGATCATAAAATCGCCATTTTGCCTTAACATCGAGCAGTTATCTTTAATTTTACGAACCGAGGGGACGATAAAAATGTATATTAATTTCGCGCACGTGAACGTGAGTGTTTTAAATAGCACTTTGTGCCATTTCATTAACAATTTAATTCCAAGATTTAAATCCCTTTTGGCATATTATTTCGGCGTATTTAAAGTAGATCCACTGAATTTTTATCGCTATACAATTTTTTATTTATAATTTAAAGAGTTTATTTAAGGGATTAAATTATATTAATATGAAAAGTAATTTCTTATTGTATACATTGATAATCGTCGTAAAATTTTAAGATATATCTAAGGTACTACAATGTTTATCTTGTTTTAAATGTTTGCTTATAGGTGTTTAATAGAAATAAATTCATGCATGGCTTGTGTATGGTCAGGGCCCGATAGGGAGGAAGTAAGGAATGCCCTAGTAAGAAATCCCTGACATGTGCCTGATCCGGTACGCCTGATTCCCTCCTGAATAGATAGCACTAGTACCACATACTGCCGCGACGTGGCGACCGCGCGTTAGTTTTTCTCGTAAGTAAAAATTGTCCCGTATTAGTATAAAAGGCGAGCCGATATGATGCGAGAGTGACTTGTCTGGATCATGGATAAACCTCAATAACCTGAATAATTTTGATGATTACGTAATTTAACACAATTAGTTTAACAAATTGAATTTTTTAATAGGAAGCCTATTGATACCCCACCCCATATTAAAAACTGTAAGGCGCAACAAAGTGATAAGGAAAACCTGATCAGGCAATTTTAATTCTCGACGTTACATTTACGGTCAGGGCCCTGTCAGGGCTGCCTGATGAGTGCCTGACCAGGCATTAAGGCATCTTTATTAGGATCCTATCAGGACCCTACTAAAATTTCTGCTTGGGTAATAATATTTACTGTGTAATTCTATGGCCGATATTCATAGTTCGTTCTTATATTTAAGATCATCTTAATTATACTCTTAATGTGTTTTTAACCAATTACAGAGCCGTATTAGCCTCTTAAGACAACACTTAAGATGATTTTCAAATATGGTAAGAATCGACTATGAATACCGACCTATGACTCTTGATCTCCTAAACTTGTCACTGATATGACATCTTATTTCCAAGGAGAAAAAAAGACGGTACTGACGATAAATATCGTTATGTTCCAACGACGCTGTTATCAATCATATTCAAGGGAAGCGAGAAAAATCTGTCTTCTTACCTGAGTGACGGCTTTGCGAAGGATCATGCATTTGTCACTCTTCCCAGAGCTCATGTCCGTTGCGGAAATCAGCTCGGCAAGCTCATCGATGTACAAGTTCTCTTGGGTCCGTCGTCTTTTTTCATTAAGGCACTTGTTACTGTAAACAATCGAAACGCAGAATTGAATATTTTATTCTAGAAGGGAATGACAGCCACAGTTCTCCAAGTGGTTAAACATAAGTGTTTAAATAAAGAGAAAATACATTTCGTTATGTAACAAATTTTTTAAATATTAAAATCTTTTCTAAAATACGTCGATACGAAAGAAACAAATATTCCAAGTTTGTAAAATGCGACACAATTTTGTTTTTTCAAACATTTATCGAGAAATATAAATGTTAAAAAGTTGTTGTCTAAAACTCGAAGAATAAAGTGCTATCAATCACATTACATCTGTTTGTTACTATTTCATAGTCTATCAAATTATAACTTCCTACATAGCAAGTTTTCTAATTAATAAGATAAAACAAATGTCTTTCTTAACATAATATTATATTATTTATATTTATTAGTTACAGTAAAAACAATAAAATATCAAAATATGTCGCTATTGTTTTCCTGACTGGTTTTCCCCGATTTTATCGCATCAACGAATGTTCGCAATCGCGATAACAAAAATATCAAGTTCTTCAGTGTAATCGTAAATCTGCTCTGACACAGTTTGCCATGCTTACTTTTTTTACACGCTTTTACATAATTTTAATAAGAGATTCCTGATTTCGAGCTGGCTTCTCCTCGAAAGAACTTCGATGGTATCGTTGCAATCTTTTGAATTCTAAACATGTCCTAGTATTTAAACATCGAATAAAAATACAGTAAAAACGAGACTCGAATTTAAATCACTCTCAAAAATGTGGTCAATTAGTTGTAACTCGCGTGTTTTACTCGAGAAGACGTAAATCCTAACTTGATCAAAAAGTTCGTTATTAAAACTGCAGGCTTGAAAATTCTACGCGCTGTGCAAGTAACAAAAATGCTGTGGAACATTAGCGAGGTACAAGAACATGCGGAAAGATTTCACAACTTTATAAAACAGAATAATTTCTTCTTTAAATGTTGAACCAATTCTTTTTGTCCCATTGAAACGTTCAGTTGACCTTGCGTGACGTCACGTCGGTCCAGCAGTGACTCTCGCTTTGCTACTCTGCCACTGCAATCTTAAGCTGTCTTGCCAGTTGGTATCTTGCAACGTGCTCGCGACAAAACGACGAAAATCAACCAGGATTAAAACCGGGAGTAAAAGCGACATGTGACTTCAGCAAGTTAATTTTTACACATTAAAAATACGAAAAACTTGAGAACCCTAAACTTTACCCCCATAATACAAAGAATGTAATTTTTTTTAAGAATGTAATATTCTTTAGAGAACTCTAAATCTCTTCTCGTGGACGATGCAAAATTATAAGATGTCAATTAAAATGAGATTATGAAAGCGGAGTGTTAGCTTAATACAGATTACTTTTTGTTACTTTCTTTGTTCGTAAAAATATATTATCTAGAAAAGTGAAAAGTACTTTTTTTCCAAAATTATTATTCTTAGTATTTACGCCAAAGTGCATATCGATTGTTAGACTAAAACGAGTATATAAATATCATCAGATCTCGTAGCGAGTTTAATAGCTTTCTGACATTTTTATATACGACACCGTTTCAAAAATAAATTTTCGATTTAAATATATTAATAACAATTTTATGCAAATATTTCATTCGTTGGCTTTTTCTGGTCAATTAATTTTTACTAAGATTTTGCAAGAAGATGAGAATAATCACCGCCAACATTTGATTATCGATGGTAAGGTAAAATTAAACAATACAATAGCGCATTAATAATACTAATATATTACAAAACTGTTACTGAAACAATGGTAAAATTTTCCGTATCACGCGCAAACACAAATAAAGATGAAATTTATGCGATAATTTAGTAAAATTTTATTCGTGCGCGACACTGACCAAACATTACTTTGACATTAAAGCCCGTTCAATCAGTAACGGACGTTCAAAAACTCACAGGCGCGCGCGTTTGTATTTATCATTAATAATTCGATCGGAACGATAAGCTCTTTAGTAAATTGGGTGGCAACGGATTATGGCGTGTATTACGCATTGCCGAGCCTTTAAATCATGGATTTTCAAACTTCAAAATCACATGCCTCAGTTGATATTTTGAACACATGCCCCTTAATAAAAATTCACAATTAATCCAGAGTTAATTAATTCGAATCCAGAGTTGTCACGTTTCGTGCTTCGTCAAATTTAACTTTCGAGTCTGTTAAGGCAGTTTTTTATCTTTCCACTGCCTCGCTATTTTCCTCCTTTATATCCCTCTTCCATTATTTTGAGATATAAATTTAGTTTCACTAAAGCATATTAAAACAAAAAGATTTTGATGGTACTTGTCGACTTTTCCAATAAACAACGTTGAACGATCATTAAAAAAACAAACTCGAACACTAATATTCCTCTTAATTTCTTTTTCCATTAATGAAAAATCACTAATCATAAAATATGAATTTCAGCATGTGCTTTCGTCATGTTATTTGTAACTCGTTATTATTGTAACATTAAAACCACTAATTACGTAACAAAATCATATTACACAATAATAAATGATTTGTGCGATAAATAATGCAAAAATATAATAAGGAAAGGACTTGACATCGCACATTTTTGTCATACGTCTAATATAATAATCTCTTTTTCCCTTTTTGTATATTAGTATTTCTGAAGAATTAAATTGAACGACGCTAAGAATCTTTATTCACTGATATGTACCAAATATGTAGTACGAAACGCGAGTATTTATCACCCATTGTACCATCGAGATTACGGGATCCGAGCATGTGCCGCGAGAAGGAACAAGAACCAGGAGATTGATACTCACATCTGCGACTGAGGCTTCGCATCTGATTTCTTTCTTTTCTTGGTAATGCCGCCAGTAATCGCACTCATTTTGACCCACAACGGGTCTTGCAATTCACACGGGCCAGGCCTGCAACAAAAGCGCAATCACAATTAGATACAGAAGTACCATACACAGACGTACGGAAAAGTGAGAAATCTTTAAGCGCAGCGGTACACGTCGAACGTCGTCGAGATAAAAGTCTACAAAAAAAGAGTCTACAAACGTTTCTGTCTTTAATCCGCGAAATCGGGCGTTTTGCCGGATCCGAAATTATGCAAACGTCTCGAGTCGTCGCCGAGAGAGTCTCGGCTTCGAAGGAACTCAACGCCTTTCGAACTGTCATCTAAAGTGTTGATAAGGGACAAGGAAGGGACGAAACGTGTATCAAGTATATCACCGTACCCTGTCCTTCGCCGGGGATACCTCTCGGAAAATTTCATCTCGTCGCGAAGACGACTCGTCTTCAAATAATCGGGACTCCCGTTCGACTAATTCGCTGCACGTGGACCGAGAGCCGCGCGTGCGATTCCTCCACTCCTCTCCCACTCTTTGGGTCTATCCACACCGACTCGGTGCGTGTACGCACACCGCTTCTCCGCCGCGTATATATGTATACGTCGCCGCTGACATTTCTCCTACTTTTCATATTGTCGCGCGGCTCGTTCGCCTCGAAATCGATGGAAGCTCGAGACGGGGATACGTAATCCTCGGTGAACTCGGAATCAATAATAAGGTCTTTACACAGGGCGCAGAGGCCCGGCATTACTGAGGAGGGGGAGACTCGGCGAGACCACGCATTGTCGATGGGACCGCGCTGAAAGCCTTAAGGGATCCCTCAGCCATCTTTTTTACCGACGCAGTCAAATATAATTTTTGCTCTTGTAATTGCTTTCATTAGCTTTTATGCACAAAGTAACGCGAGGATACGTTGCGGACCGCATAGCGAATTAAATATTTCAAATACCAACATCTTTTTTATCAGACTTTTGAACTGCGTGTTTTAAGTATGAAAATGTTCTGCTATGCAGTCCGCAACTTATCCCGGTATTACTTTGTGCATAAAAGCTAATGAAAAGAATTACCAAACGCAAAAACTTTATTTACTACTATATTTGACTGTGTCGGTAAAAAAGATGACTGAAGGAGTTCGCCGATTGCTGAGGGATCTCTTAACAATTCCTTTAACTTTTTCGACTATCGCTGAAAAATTCTCGATTCTCTCGGTCGCATTTACAAAAATGCAAAGAAAGTCCTTAAGGCCCGGTTGCACCAATGTCGCCTACCTTTAACTTCAGCTTGATTCACTCTTCGTCTCTTTCTGTTTCCCTTAGAAAGAGACAAAGAGTGAATCAAGCTAAGGTTAACGTCAAGCGGCGTTGGTGCAACCGGACCTAAGAGAGATAAAAAGTGTAGTTGAAATTCAGCCTCTCGAATTTCGCAGAAATATGTTAGCAGTCGTGTCGAGCTAACGCCGTATTTCACACAGTAATACGGAAACGGCGTAACGTAATGGACCCTCGGGGGGGGGGGGGGGGAAGGGAGAGATAAAATAAATGGTTAAAGTCTGGCGGAACGTCCAAGGCGCGGCTTAATTCGCTCGATATTAAGCTTCAGCTTAATATCGAAGCTTAACGGCTCTTCAGGGCGCGCGCCTTCTGGACTTTCGCGCTGCTCGAGCCCTCTCGCGCGCGCGCTCGTTCTCTCTTCCTTTATCGAAATTGGATTTACCGGGGCCGCTATAAATACGCGGGGACGCAAGAGCGACTCGAAATAATGCCTTGGACTACTCCCGGCGGCGCAATGCAGCGTGCGCGATTCCTTGAGATCGTCTTTTTTCCTCACACTCGCCGCGCGGCCGCCCGCCGCCGGGTTTATCGTCGCGCGAGCGACGGCGCGCGCCTCCCTTCGCCCTTTGTGCATGCCTTTTCGGTTCGTTTCCCCCGAATCAATAAAATTCCTTTATGGCGGCACACGGCCGGGGCAGCGTTATAATAAACCGGGGAATCGGTCGCTAACAAAATGCCTAAAGATAATAGATAATCGCGCGCGCAATAATGAGCGCTGTACGGCGAGACGTAGAAGGTATCCCGAAATTGCCCGGTTCTATCAAACGCCGATCTCCGTTCGCGATTAGCGTCGAGTCCCAGAATTCCGATTTCGTCCTCGTCCAACGGAGACCGCGCGCGCGCTCATATTCCGCGACAATTAAATAATCCTTTCGTACTAAATGTCAATTCTAATTACGGACCTCTAGATACTAGAATTTTAAAAAGGCCATCATTCGGCGCGGATTAATTTTCAATAAATTAAACATGTTATATCAAACGTTAAATATGCGAAATCTTTTAAGAGACACCTCAGAGTGTAACGATACAATTGTTTTGCACCGAGCAGGCGTTCTTTGAACAATAGAGAGTTAAGATAAGAGCCCTTGACAAATGCTATATTTAAGGGTGTTTTCACATAGATGGCAATGAACAAGAGCACACCAATTTGTCTTTTTGAGTGTTAGATATCGACAAATTCGTGCTGTTGGGTGATTTTTAAATACGAGAAACGTGCGATCGCGGCAGCGAAGAGCGTTGTTGCGAAATTATAAAAATATAATTTAAATATTGTTCATATATTTCACATACATTTTTAGTATATTTTTGACAGATATAATATTATATACAATTCTTTTAGTAGAATTTGTATATACCAAAAGTATGAAATATATTACCACCATATATTATCTACCTACTTTCTGAAATATATATATTTTTCCGTGAGGGGGGTAATACATGAGGAAGAAGAAATTTTCTCCATTACTCATCCGTCCAATACATCATCCGTCGAAACGTACGGCTATTCTAGGACACCCTGTACACTCGGCGAGCGAGTCAATCGAACATTGTGTCTCGTATCAAGACTCTTGCCTGAGATAATAGCTTGCGTAGCTCCACGCACCAAGTCGCTTGTTTACCCGCTTTACGTAATCGCGCGGCACGCAGATTTTGCGGATCTTAAACGGCGCGCAGGAAAAAAAAACATCCGCGATTGTAGTGTGGAAATTGCAGATTATACGATTTTTATCCGCGATTCGACGAGCGATAATGGGATACGGCGCGACCGTTTCAGCGGGATGGATACGGCGCTTTGATAAATGCGTTACGTCCGCGACTCTCTCGCGGCCGTTAATTTATCGGTATGCCGATAACGCAATTAACGAGTTGTAAAGTGTATGGGTTACTGCATCGTAAATTAGACGACATTGCATCACATTTCTGGTTAGCGCGCGCGCGCTCTTTTTTTTCTCTTTTGGCCACGTATGAATCCCCGCTAACAACGAGACCGGGTTCTTTCTAAATAAACCTAGCGCACTCTTTTTCTTTCACCGTCTCTTCCGTTCCTTTCGCTCTTTCTCCGTGAATGTACGCGGGCAATTTGTATGCCCGTTTCATTTTAAGCGCTGAAAATAAAGATAAATGCACGTAGCATTGTTGTACATGGATCAATATGATTGTTAAAATTATATATTTCGTGCATCTCTTTGCAGTTTACTTTTTTAATGTGAATTACATTATACTGTACCAAAAGAGTTCTTTAGAAAATGTTTACAGGTTGAGATATTGGTAGAAATTGGTGGAATCAAACTCGAAGTTTATTTTCTGCGTAAACAAATCAACTGCCTCGAAAAGCGATACGAACTGAGAAATTTCATCGGTAAAAGGAAAATTGGTTTACACTGAGAAATATAGAATTCCTGAACGTTGTTTCTTCGGATGCACGTCTAACGTATAGCATTTGACAATTTTTCAAATTCTGCAATACCGAAGGTATAAAGGATTTGTTTTTCTTCAATATCACCTTGTTACTCTTTCGAGGCGATCGCCGCCCTTTAACAAACTCCAGGTACGTTATAAAATATGTAAATATTAAAAAGTAATAACGGGAATAATATTAAACTGCAAAATAGAAGCTGGAAAAATAGCACGAAGGATGAAGCGACGGAGGAAAAATATGTAATTCCCGGAACGGCTCGCATACGAGCGGGATGTGAAAGAGGCGTAATTTTGTGGCAAGAATACGAATAAATATCGACGTCGACTTGCATTATCGGCGAGAAGGACGTCCGCAAAAAGATTATTTCTCCGCGGCGGCGATCGGCGGCTGTTAAATTCGAAAGATCGACAGTAACTTGTATCGGGCGATTCTTACGTCACTTTATAATCGGTTTCGGATTTCGGCACGACGCGGCAAAAAAATCGGACGGGGACTCGTAAACGTCCGGCGCATAATATACCGCAGTTTAAACCTCGTTAGCCGATAAGCGACGACCGATACGCGGATCCACCTGCGTGTGTTTAAGACAAACGCGCACTGCGGATGTCATCCCGGCGAGTTTTGCCATCGGGTTACGCCTTTCCTCCAATTATTGCGTTAACGTTTAACGACAGCCGCTTATCGGCTTGTAATCCCGACGACGAAATTACAATCATCCGAAGGCGAATCGATCGACCACTCTCCTCGACGAAATATCTCGTGCGAACTAACGACCGGAGAAAGCCCATTGCAAAACTTTTACGTGTCAAAGTATTATTAAGATTTATAACATTGCCGTGTCCGAATGAATCATTATTTAACGTGTAAGTAATAAGCGCTATTCTTTTCCTCGTTGCCTCACAAGTTTTTGAATTCCTCGAATTTATTAAAAAGTTGACTTTTCACAGATTCGCGAGAAGTCATTAAAAATTTTCGCCGATCGCCACCAATTCGATAGACCTTTTATTGGCAAATAACAGAAAAATTTAACGCGGCAATTAGCAGCAATGTAAAATTAACTCGCTCGTAATTTAATACCATTTTCCCTCTTTCCCGGCACCTGCTCATAATAAAGAAATTAGTACTTAGTGTACGAAGTCAAACCTCTCGTCAGCTTTTAAATTTTTCGCTGAATAATGCACTTTCGGCAGTGTCGCAATATCACAGGCGGCTTGAATATAAATGCAGCACAAGTTTGCCTGCCTTTCTTGTCAGAAACCACCGCGCCGCACTTCGCTCGCCATGTGAAACGCGTGATGAATGACGAAAAAGAGATAGCATTA